TTTGTTAGCGATAGGGTGAGGGATTCAGCCATCCGAGATTGGCAGCCAGAGTAGTTCAGGGATCTGGCAAGGATGCCTCCTTGGAGAGGTGTTTTAGGTATGTCCCACCAGAAGGGGGCCCCAAGAGCAGACCCAGGCCATGGGAAAAACCTCTGTGTTCCCCTGGATAGGCTGGAAGAATTGGCTAGGGAGATTCAGATTCTTTTGACTAAATAAATTAATATTCAGTGGTGGTCTCATCTTAGCAGCTTTGAGACATTTTGATGCAGGAAGCTGCAGTAGTAACATTTCCAAATGCTTTTATTTGTTTGTTATTTATTGGGTTTATTTATTTATTGAGGTTGTTGGCAGATTTGCTCACCTCAGAGATAATGGGAACACCCATGTGGGCCATGTTGGAAATGATGTCACTGTCCTCTGGTGGGATGTTAGCATGCTGAAGGAGCTTACACAGGTTCTCCTCAGTCACACCTGACACACACAGTGAGACACACAAATGCATGCAGTACAAATACCCAGTCCAAACATGCAATTCACACGCATGGGAACATGCATGTTTAGAAAAAAAAAGAATGAATTGACAAAAGAAAGTAAATCAAAACCTGAGAATATGAAACTGTAGCAATAGGACTCTGTCTAAGGATAAAACTGAAAGACTGGTAGTGGGCTGCAGGTGATCAGATAGATAAAAACTATGGTTTTCATCTGACATGAAAAACAGGATGACGGTGGATATCTGACCATTCTTAAGGAAGATGTAGAGCAGGATGATGCGGATCTTGTCGGACACACTGACATTGGCATCCAGCAGAATGGGGACAATGAGCCTCATGGGATCCTTGATCTTCTCACCTTCTGCATCTGTTCCCATCGCGAGATCCTTCAAAATAAAAGAGAACATTATTAGAGTCGTTTCTTGCTGCAATTAATGCCAGTCACTGGTTAACACAGTAACAGGAGACTAAGGTCACAATTCTAAGCTGTATTTCATTTGCAGTCTACTAAAAGTGATGTCACAGGAGATGTTAGAGAATTAAAATTTTAAAAGTGATTCAATGATAAACAGGAGATGAGTCTAATGAGTTTAAACTGCCTTATCTTTAATTATGCTAACATACCTGAAAATAGAGTTAAAAAGGTTACACTGAGTGGACAGAAATGAATGAATAAACGGATGCAGCATAAACTAAGAACAATAATACTATGGAAAACAAAAATTAAAAATGTCACTATACAGGGTAGAAGAGACAGATAGACCCAGCATCTAGTAGCCATCCAGTAACCATTACAGTGCCGACATCCAAAAAAGAATCTCAAGCATAAAGAGTCGAACACCACCGGGCCCTGACATGATTCATCTCTGGCTAAAGAAGCTAACTGCACTGCATGAGCATCTGGTAGCACATCTGGCTCACCAAGGAGCTACAGTGCAGAAGCCACAGGGATCCTCGGCAGGGATCTTAGCAGGCTGTGCTGGCAGCTGGCTACGCCAGAGCAGACTGAGCCCCGGGCCCAGAGACCCGAGGTCCAAGGGGCCTCCACACCCTGGAAGGGGACTGACTGAGCCAAGGTCCCGCCAAGCAGCCGCCAAGAGTGAACCAGTACAGCACCCAGCCCCGGACACCAAGAACCACCAACGCACCAGTGGGTGGGGGCATCAGACACTGGCAGGGAGTGTGGTGGGGGAAAATAGCCTGAGATGTTCTCAGAGGTGGAGTCTAACCCCTGACCTGACACATAACCTTAGACAAACAGACACACACAGACACAAACATGCATTCCCACATGCACACATATAGAAATACTCAGCACTCACCCAACATGGAGACACAGACACTCACACGCCTCCAAACATACTCTGTACTCCCAGATCCAGGCACCATCACCCCCAGCGGGACGATCTGTGCCAGACCCAAGAGATGCTTCCCTGTCCTCTGGGGTGGAGATGAGCACACTGCCCCCGGTCCTGCAGCAGCAGGGAGGCCCAGCAGCCCAGACCCCGACGAGGATTTCTTAATAGATTATTTATCAGAGAATAACAAAATAGTAACCAAGTTTTTTTAGTCTGGCGGCCCAACAGAAGTGTTGGTGTGTCTTCTGGAAGACATATAAGTCTTTTATACTCTGACAACATAGTAATTTGTAAATACCTAAAAAAAA